ACTCCAGTTCAAGATGGAAGACTAAAGAAAGTGCTCCAATTATCTGGCATTACCTTATTGAGGCCCCCGTTTCAGCCTATGCAAATTTAAGAAATTAGGTGCTGCAAATTATCTTACTCTAAAATAAACGAAGAGCAGTGTGACGTCAGGACCTCTGCAAAGTACATCTGACTAGATATTCCCCTCACTCGAGACTTTTGAGAAATCATGGGATTTTGCCCATCCGGTGTACATATGTTTTGTTGACCTTGAAAAGCTCATGACCGGATTTCGAGCAACTGTCTGTGGTCATGCCTGCGAGCATAACGGATAGATGGCCAGCAGAACGGGCATCCAATCACGGTGTTCTGATAGCAGATGCTACGACAGAGTAAATGGCGTTAAGTGGCGGCGTTTCGACGTTTCTGGTGCGTCAAGACTCCTTCATGTCCCTATCCTGTTTGTGTTGTACATGGATAGAATAGTCCGGAGCTACCAAGGCGATGAGGGTATCAGTGTAGGAGATGTGAAGTCTAGAAAATTGCTGTTTGCAGACTCCCTTGTTTTATTAGCATCTTCTGAAACTGATCTTTAGTGCTTCTTAGAAAGGTTCGCAGCCGAGTGTGACGTGACCGGCTTGCGTGTGAACGCATCTGAAACGAAAAGCCTAGTGCTTTCTCGTTCTCCTGCCTGTCGCTCTTTTCAGATTAACGGAGAGGCATTGGAGCAGGTGGAGAAGTTCAAGTACCTCGGAATTGTATTTATTAATGGTGTTAAATTGGAGGAAGAGATCGACCGGCGGGATGGAGATGCCATAACCGATGTGACTAATGCACAATTGAGTTTGAAGACTAAACTGTACGTGTTCAAGTCGATCTTCATTGCCATGCGTTACTACGGTAATGAGTTGTAGACTATGTCTAGAAAACTTTGATCCTGGGTTCGAGCGGTTAGAAACGGCTTTCTGAGAAGAATCCCTAGCCTTACGTTTCTCGACATGGTCCGGAATACTTATATCCTGGAGAGCCTTGATGTACAGCCTCTGCTTTTCCAGATTGAGAAGTCACAGGCGCGAGGGTTTGAGCATGAGTTGCGAATGCCTCCAGAAAGGAAGGTTAAGCAACTGTTCCTTACAAATCCGACCGGCAAAAGGCCCAAGGGACGGCCAAGATTAACCTGGTGCCAATGTATGAAAGGAGTCCGTTTCAGACTCCAGTTGTCTTCTGCCGATGTTCAGACTATGGCAGAGGATCGGGAACGTTGAAAGCTCTGTCTGACGCGTCTGCCTCAGCAATCCGAAAGGAGAAGCAGTTAATGAAAATGAAGATGAAACGCGAGTTACATGTAGCATCTGTAACGAGTTTCACTCGTTTTTAAACTCTGACGCTTAATAGAGATGTCAGTATCTACATTTGTGGTAAATCCAAGTTCAACTGCCAAACAGAGAAGCATACTTTAGCAGTAGTTCACCATATTCAGGCTGCATATACCTGCATAATAAATGATTTGGTCATGGATTTAGGAATTTTCCCAGTTCCTTTAAGCTATAGAATATTAAGAAAATTACCATGAGGCACTGCACTGAGACCATTCATCCCATGGATCCAACTGCGTTCCACATGGTTGCGATTCTACTTCGATGGCGTAGTTGATACCACAGATGCCACAGGTTCGCACTCGAGTCTGAACGGCTGAAAGCAGACAAAATACGTTAATAGGTCGTTTGCAGACCTTGTGCTTACTCCACAATCCGGTACAATCGGCAACGCATTCGCTCCAGGTGCTCCATGGGCCCCAGTGGCCTCTGTTGCCAAAATTTGCAACACTTCCATACGCTGATCTTCCTTTGACTTTCACTACAAAGAAACAGTTACGAAATCATTTCAAACAGTACATATATTTAAATGTTTACGCGATGAAAGTTCCTTCTCATTTTCTTTGGGGCATTCGGTTAGCAGCTTAAACAAAGTTTGGTCTTTTCCTCTTCGCTGGATAGTCAGGTGCTTCTGTGATTTTGCGTACAGCTTGCAGGTGCCGTTTTTACCAATTTCAGTTGGGCTTCCAAAACCGGCGAACTGACAATCATTTTTGCGATCAGTGAGGCATGTCAAGAGGCAGAGATGGTGGTTTTCGGCCGTTATTTCAATGATCACTTTAGCATCAGCAATCACACTGTTTTTAATCTCTTCGACGCAGAAGTTTACTAAAATATTAAGACATTCCTTTACGAACGATGAAAATGCGTTTTTGGCCAAACTCTGCAGTTGTCGGTCTCAAGTTATGATGAGAAAGGAGATTGATTCATTACCGTGGCGACAGTTCCAGTAACAGTCATTTCGGGCCCCTCAGTTTATTGCTTTCACCGAAAGTTATACCGGCTCAGTTGACCCCAGATTATCCAACGGGCCGCGCTAATCATTGGAGAATCGAGGTTGATCGCAAAAGTCGACAACTAGAGCCTGATTCATGCAATCTGCCAAACTGAAGACATAGCAGCAGATGACGGTTTTTTAAGATCGACAATAAAATGATGAAGATACCAGTCAGCAGTGGAGCCGCTACCTTTTCTGAATGTAGGAGACGCAGAGCGATGTTATTCTAACACGTCAAACACGAAAAGTGGGAGAATCTTCTCATTCACAGGGAAGGAGCAAGAGCCAATTGTACGTCAGCACGTAAAGTACTTAACTTTTATACTTGGACTCGTGTCAACGAAATGCAAGGGCTCTACAATTCTGAACCTCTGAAGATGAAACCTATTCCACTCATATGCCGGCTTAACGACCTATGCTCAAGCACACGTAAGTATTTTAACAGAGCCTGTTAATGGAGGAGTGGCAACCTCTGACCGGCGATACAGGAGGTTACCTTGTTACAGATCTATGTGCACAACTTGGAAGAAGAATATCAATCTTTATTCAACGAAGTAGAAGGTCCTTGGGAAATTCTGTCTATGAAATTTCTCACTCAAATAGGAGATTTCGATGCGGGTCTCACAACAAATAATAAATATCGGAAATGAGTGATTTGGACGAACGAACCTAACGATCGCGATCTCAACAACGAATGCATGTTATTGCTTGTGCAAGCAACCGATTCGCCATTGTGAACATTTTTTTTTCGAGCATCAAAGTATGCATCACTATGCCTCATATAGAAAAGCTTGGTACAGAACTCACTAATGGTTTTGATGATCATATCGTCTGATTAACGAGCTTCCTAAAGGATGCTCGCGTTAAGCTGTACAGAACAGTCAATCGATCATCACCTTGTTGCTGGCTATAAACGATGGAGTATCACGCAAAGACCTGAGAGCGAAAGCAAATGGACAATCAAATGGAAAACCTTCTCCTCCCTGGATACGAGAACAAAACTTGCAAAAAGCATCGCACGGTTTGAACTGATGTCAATGATAACCGCTTATGTGTAAAACTCGTGGAAACCCCTTAGGAGACGCCTACTCAATGCTGCATTGAGTGGTTCACAACAGGTTGGTTTGCCGCTTGGAAGTCAGCAAGGAACTTCATGATGGACATGAGATTTTCAACTGGCTTCCAGCGAGAAGACGGCTGCATTCAAGACATGGCTTAGAAGCAAATGACCTTGAACTCGAATGCAAGGTGGCAATTAAAGCAGTAACCATTCTTGAGAAAAGTTTGGTGAAGTAATGGAGTCGAATTTCCGCACTGCAAACAAGCCATTTTTTCAGATCATCAGATGGACAGATGGTTAGTCTGAAACTCTGGAAAAAATCTGGATGCTCTTTTACCAAAGACGAGGACATTCTTTAGCAATGGAGAAAGTACTGCAAAGAATTTCTCAGCCAGAAATAACAGCAGGAAGCGTCGCTTGAAGAGCAACGGGCAAAGCATATTAATCGTTCGGTAGATGATGCAACAGATTGAAAAGAAGAAAAGTCGCTGGAATCGAAGTTGAAATGGAATCGTCCTGAAATACACAAAGCGTTTGGTGATGGAAACATGTGTGGGTTACACTTGTCCCTTGAAACTGCAATGGCTACGGAGAAGACACCAGTTCACTTGAGAATAAGGGTTTTGGTACTCCTTTCAAGAAGGATAACCATAGAGATTGCTCCAATAATCGTAGCATTACCTAATCCAGTCTCCCGGGCAAAGTCAATGCAAAGGTGCTAGAAAGGAGATCCTGCGAAATAATTGACTCTAAGGCACAAAGTGGACAGTGTGGCTTCAAGTCAGACAGAAGCACGATACGCCAGATTGCCTTATGCTAGATCTTTGAGAAACGTGATAGTTAGCTCATCCGATTAACAGGTGCTCTGTGGACCTAAAAAAACGTCTATAACCAAATTCAGCGCAACAAGCTGTGGTTATGCTAGCAAATACATAGGATAGATGGCCAGTTGCTACCAGCCGTTCATTCTCTATGTGTTGATGGCTGATACTGTCTCAAAGTAGATGGCTTTGAGTCGTGGTCTCTCATTGCTGGCAGTAGTGTCTGCAAGGCCCGCATTCTGTCCGCTCTCTTGTTTCTGTTATACTTGGATAGAATAGTCATACACAGCCATGGCAGCTGTTTGCAGACGACCTTGTTTCGATGGCATCTTCTAAAACTGATCAACAGTGCTCTCTGAAACGTCGGCAACTGAGTGTGACGTTACCGTCATTCGTGTTGACGTCTTTAAAGCGGAAGGCTAAGTACGCGTTCTGTTTCTTCTTCTCGGCAGTATTAGGAGAAGCAGTGGAATAGGCAGGAAAAATCACCCACGGTGGGGGGAACCGTGTGCCTTAATGATTACAATGGCAGGCAGAGATCGGTCGACAAATTGGAATGGACACTGGCGCTTTGCGTTAACTAGTTAGAGTTGTTGTGATTAAAGCAGAAATGAGTCTGAAGAATAAGCTTTCTGTGTTCAAACAGATATTCATCTCTATCCTCACGTGTGGTCATAAATTGTGCACTGTAAATGACAAACTTTCATCTCTGATATAAGGGGCTGAAATGGCTTTCTGAGACGAATCACTCTACTCCTACGTCACGGCGTCGTTCGAAGTCCGTATATCTGAAGATCAGGCAGAGCCTTGGTGTAGTGATGCCGTTTTTTTCAGATTGACAAAAATGCTTTATTTTTGATTTGTGCTATATTTGTGGTCATGAAGATATAAGAAATAATGAATTATGAGAACTATCGTTTCGAAATTATTATAGCCTTCACATCCAATAAATTTTACCATGATGCAGCAGCACAGAACTGAGAACTGAGTGAATAATTTATGAGAATTTGCTGTGAAGAGATGCTGACAGACTCTTATACTAGCTGATTAATCAAAGATGAGTAGAAGCCTGTAGAAAATATAGATATGATAAATGAAGCTTACCATCCCCACGACACTGTTCAGCACAAATTATCAGTCCAAATTATTCTGCTATGGGTTCACTGATTAAATATATTTTTTCAGGCATCTAACCATTTTTGTTTTTAATCTATTATTTCTGAGACAAAAACCGCAATGTATTTATCATGCTTCATTAAAATGACTATCATTTTAACTTAATTGGCTCTCTAGGCAAAAGAAATAAAGGAGTAGTGCAACAGCCCGTAAAATCTGTTCTAGAAAGAGTTTCTCCTATGTTTCATTACCTGCTGGCTATTTTTTGAAGTTCGATTTGAATTCGTTATGCCTGTGTCATCCTGTTCATTTTCAAGTACTACCCACAAGTTGCAATAGTTTCGATCACCTTCATTCATTTTCAAGGGTTATATCGCAAAAAAGAGTTTGCAAAGCATTTCAACGTTGACAAGAGTAACAAAACGCATCATAATATTGAATTATACTAATGTTTAGGAAGGTATATTTAGATCTGATTTTTCATGGTTCGAAATTAATAAATTGTTTA